TTCAACATCCTTGAAATGAACTCAAGTTTTTTCCATAGTGTTCCACCATCATCACTAGGATGCATGACAAGTTTTGTGACTTTTTCATTTTATGAAATTTCTATAATTATTTCAATGAAAACACCACATACCACACCCCGGCCGTGACGCAACATGTTTTTTATGTCCAAATATGTTCAATTCTTTGATTGACTGTTGGGTTGGCCATATCAACTCACTTGCAAACTTTGAGGTCATTCCAAATATGTCTCAAAATTTACCTCCTTCTCCGGAGACCGTTCGGGCAGGACCAAAGGCCTTGTCCAAAAGGAGTTTTTTTGACATCCTTCAAATGAACCCACATTTTTTAGTGTTCCGCCATCATCACTATGATGCATGAAAAGTTTTATGGCTTTTTTATCGCTTTAATAATTTTTTATAATTTTTCGGTGAAAACACCACATACCACACCCCGGACGTGACGCAATATGTTTTTAGTGTCCATGCATGACAAGTTCTCCAAAGACCGTTCGGGTATAAGCGAAGGCCCCATGCATGTGTTTTGCGACTGATTTTTCTACAATTTGTGTGTCGATTATCGTCTCGTAACGTTAAAGTGCACGTTTCCGTTTATTTTTTGAAGTTGCACAACTAACATCAAATTAAACATACGGATTTTTTTCAGATAAACCATTCCGAGTTCATTCATAATTCAAAATATTTTACATAACCCTAAACATAATCGAGCACTGCTCTTACATAACTTAGACCGAAATTTAAATATAAACCCTAAAACTAGACTACTCGTCGTCGCTGGCGCCGGTGAGGTTGACGACCGGCGCCATACTGCCGGCCTCTACTTCGTTGTTGTCACCGCCGCAGCCGCCGTCGTCGTCGCTGAAGTCCCACCAGTTGTCTTCCCGCGCCTGCTGCTCCTGCACCGCCGCTATGGCCGCCAGCCGCTCTCGTTCCTCACGAGTGGCCGCCGCCGATGCCTCCTCTGCCGACCGGTCCAGCACCGCAAGTAGCCCCGGCGTGTCGTCGGGGTCTCCGTCTTGCGTGAGGGCGGCCTGCGCCGGCGGGATCTCGACCAGCGCCGGGGCAGGGGGCGCCTGCTGTGCCGGGGCAGTTGGGGGGCTGGAGGTGGGCCGTGGCGGCGGCGACCATGGGAAGTACCGGCCTCGCCAGTAATGTCCCCGACGGGGAGGCCGGCCGCCGCGTCCCTGAACGCGCCGAGGACGATGTCGAAGTTCCTCCCACGCCAGAACCGGCGGCGGGCCCTCCGGTTGTACCGACCGTCAGGGAAGGCGCAGAGCTGCTCCCTCGTCGGCGGCAGTCCCATGGTGGGGATGTCGTCCGCCCCGATCCGCCATGGCCCCGGCACCTTGGCTGCCGGCGGTACCGGGCCAGATCCTCCGTGCCGCCGATGGTGAGGCTCAGCGGCCAGACGCCGCCCGGCCACGCGCCCTCGTCGGAGTCGCTGGAAGACATTGCCGGCGAGGAGAGGAAGGGGGAGATGGGCGGGCGAGGAGAGGAAGAGGGAGATGGGCGGGCGAGGGAGATGGCACGGCGTGGAGAGGGCTGGCGCGGCCTTTTATAGACGGCGGGGGAGGAAGGTGGGCGGGCGAGCCATCGGCGGCGCGCGCCACGAGGGAGAGGCGGACGGTCCGACGCGGGCGGCTGGCGGCACGCGCGGCAGCGGTGGCGTGTGAAGGCGCGGCAGGCAAGGCAGGCAAGGCATCGGTGGCGTCTGGGCACGGCAACGGTGGCGTGGGAGGGCGCGAGGACGGCAGGCGCGGCAGGCGATGCGTCGGTGGCGTCTGAAGGCGGGCGGGCGGGCGCCGCAGCGGCGGCACCCGACCGGTCGCGTCAACTGCCGGCCCGAGGCGGAAGGCTGGCGCAGGCGCCCGGTGGCCGCACGGCGGCAGTGGAGGGCACGGACTACAAGGGCAGCGGGCGGGCGGCAGGAGATCAGCCGCGAGTAGTCAGCGCCTGCATGCACGCCGCAATTACTGCAAAGCAGTTAATTGCACGACGATATGGCCGTCCGCGCCACGTCCACACGTACACCCCCACCGGTCAACGCCGACTTTTTAAAAAAAACATGCCCTGCACCTGACATACTGGGCCCATGGATGCTAACTGCTCGGCTCGGCTCGCGTCCTCACGGCTGCCAAGCGGCTCGACTCGTCCCACAGCTGCGTATACACAGGCGCGCGGGGTATCAGCGTGGACGCGCAGGGTTACTTTTTTTCTCTACGCCTATAAAAATGCCAGTTGGTGGTGATGGTGTGCCTGCCTTAGGGTCATCTGCACCGTCCGATGTGGAATCTAAGGATGAGAATGACCCAAGGCATATAACTTGCAGTTTTGCAAAAACACCCTGTGCATCTGACAGAATTTTGTAGAAGGCATCTGAAACACAACAAGAATATTCTGGAGGTTTCTACTTCTCTCCCGAAACAAACACGTCTTCGAGAAGGAGCTAAAAGAAAGTTTTCAAGGACCCCTCCCCAATTCCTCGCCGCAGGTCCCTCCACTCTCTGCCCCGACGATCGCCGAAGTTTAATTGGGCGAGGGCTTCGCCTCTTGTACAGCCGTAGACCATAGTTGTAGTTGGGGTTTCCATAAATCTGATTTGGCTTTGAGCTTTGCCCAATGTCTCTCCTTCTAGATCTTGCCGTGCAAGCTGTCGGAGTAGGAGAAATGGTGGAACCACCGGGAAGGATGTCCGTGCTTCTAGGCATGCGCTCCCGACCAGGCCGCCGCTGCCAAGGTCAATGAGCTGCGGGCGCTCCAGGCCGCTCTCTGCTAGCGCAGCTTGCCCAATGACGGTGCCGATGTGTACGCCAAGTCGCCAACATCCACCTTTCGCCGGCTGCGTCCCTTGTGCGCTCACGGACAGTAGCGGGGTCCTCTGCAGACGAGGACTACACCACAAGCTCTGAACTGTATATGTTACCTTGACTAGGCTGCACGCCACAATTTTTGGCTTCCAGGGATACGCCCTGTCGTGTTGGTCGCAGCGCAATCACGCTGGCACAACATCCTTCGGTGCAGCTGAGTCTTCGTCAATGACTAGCAAGAGGCCCATGCGTTGCATGGAACATCAAGATGCATTTATACGAGTTGTTTATCTCGTGGGAGACGAAGATGAACGAGGGAAGTCCTTATCTGCAAATGTGGAGAGGGGTGAGGGTATGTCATAGTTTGCTTTCTATCCGTCAGATATAGATCGGACGGTCCATATTGCAGGATGGCAGGCACACCATCATCACCAACTCAGTTTTTATAAGAGTAGAGATAATTGCCACACCAATGTCGTCGTGTTCTACTTCTGCCTCCACGCTTCACCGGTGCAACTCCGTCCGCCAAGAGGTGCGCATACTGGCGCACATATATTTCATTCCCACTATTGTGTATGTGATTTGATTGTTTGATCAACTTCAGGTGTACAGTAGTTCAAGTATCTTTTTTAGATACATGCTAATCAATATCCGTTCATCGTCGAAAATATTTTTTTATATCCAAGGTGGTACTGAACTTTTATGGTCCAGCTGCTAGAAAAGAAAAGAAATTGTCCAGAATTTCGTACATGGGCCGCACGCGCTAAGGCCCAGAAAGCCCCACATTTATATCCTGCGCACGCTGCTGGAGAACCTTATTTATCGCACAGAGTCACATATAGTCCGAGCTTCCCATCTGTCGCCCAATGTTGGGCTGGCCCATTTCCGTTTTTTCTGTATTTTTTTTCTATTTTTCAATTTTCCCTTCCAAGATATATTTTCCTTTCTCATAATTTTTTTAAATTTTCCCAAATTTCGTTTCTGGTAATAATTTTCGTTAAATCTTAGAATTTCAAATTTTGTTCCCATTTTCAAAATTATTTGGAACTTTAACTTTATATTTTCGTTCACTTTTTTCTCGAAATTCAAAAAATGTTCGCATTTTAAAAGAAAATCCAATTTTTTTGGAGACTTACAGAATAAATTTCATTTTAAAAATAATAGTAATTCGAAAAATATTATTTCCTTGAAATGTTCACAAATTCAAAATAATGTTCGTGATAAAAACACATTTTTCAAAATGGTTTTGAAAGTTCAAAACAAGCTTCCATTTTAAAAAAAGTGTTTCACAAATTCGAAAAATGTCCGTTTCTCCGCCTTAAAATGGTCATGTTTTCAAAAAATGTTTGTGAATTAAAAAAATCTTCCTATTTCAAGTTTTTTTTGCCTTTTCCAGAAATTAATGCTTTTTTCAAAAAAAAACTCATATGTTTTTTAAAAAAACAGGAGGTCACCACAACCTCGACAAGGAGGTGGACTTGAAGGGAAAAAAGGCACGAGTGTGGTAGTGGTCGTCACTCGGACCAACCCCACTACTATAAACATCTCGCGGACCAAACATGACCCACGAGAACACCACAACTCTTCGCTCTGTCGCGCCACTGTTGTGGAAAACGTTTTGATGGACACATCAATTATTTCTCCCGACACTTCTTGTAAAAATATCTCTCCCGTTGCAACGCACGGGCATATGTGCTAGTTTTATATAAAACAATCGTGTCCCTGGCAACGAAGGGGTATGGGGGAATCTCAACCCTTATGTGTTTGAGAGTGTAGCGAAACAAAAGTGTCTAGGCATCTAGCCATCTAGGTGAAGCTTACCGCAATGCAAATCAAGTGACACATGGGTCGGGTCCCACGTGAAAGCCACCGTACTCCACGACTACAGAAGACCCCAACCTGGATATATGTCAAACTCTGCAATCTGAGACTTTTTTCTGAATAATGCACCGCATGCCCCTTTCTAAGAAACGCCAGCGGCCAGCCGACTGGCGTGAGCAAGCGTACTGGCGTCGAGCACTACTAGCACGTAGCTCTCCCACAGCCACACTCCTCAATCATTCCGAGAGCTGTGCTCCAGAAAAAGAAACTGCAGAGGGGGCGAGAAGTGCAAAAAAAAAAGGAGCTGCGAAGCTCTGCTGGCGCTCGCCGTCTCCGTCTTCTCCGGTCTCCACCATGGCCTCTTTCGCCGCCCTTCCGCTGGCCGCTCTCCTGGTGCTGGCCGTCTCGTGGGCATGGGAGCACCTCGTGTGGAGGCCCTACGCCATAGCCAGGAGGCACAGGGCGCAAGGGATCCATGGCCCCCCATACAGGTTCCTCAAGGGCTCCAACGAGGAGGTGAGGCGGATGAAGGCGGAGACGGCCGACGTGGTGCTCGACGTCCGCGACCACAACTACCTCCCCAGGGTCGCGCCGCACTTCCTCAAGTGGAGGGCACAGTATGGTACGAGATTCTTCTCTTTTTTTGCGAATATGGTAGTACGAGATTCTGCTGGTAATTGATTTTGCTCAACGCTCCTCTGTTGCTGTTTTGGTCAATTTGTTACTACAGGCGACATGGATTTTAGTTACCTGTAAGCTCACTGTTGATCCTGTGCAGTTATGATCTACTACTGTATTCTAGTAGCAACATGGATATTATGTGAAGTACTATATATAGTTGATGATACGGATGATAATATGCATACCTGCACATGTGTGATATGTGTGAATGGTATACACTACACAGGAGAGCCATTTCTGTTCTGGTTTGGTGCCAAGCCCCGGATCTGTGTCTTTGACTACGAGTTGGTTAGGCAGATCCTTTCAAGCAAATCCGGACACTTTCCGAAGAACGACGCGCACCCGAACGTGTTGGAATTGCTCGGCAAGGGCCTGGTGTTGGTGAACGGTGTGGATTGGGTGCGCCATCGCAGGGTCATCAACCCTGCTTTTGCAATGGATAAGATAAAGGTAATTGATATTATGCCTTAACCACATAAAAAATTGTACTCCACAGCAAGCGTGATGCAAGCTGAATTCTAGTATGAATATCTGTCCACCTTGTACGGATAGAGATAGGAATGATCATATACAGAGTGTCAAACCAGTGACCTTTCCCAAAAAACGAATCAAATCAGTGAATGAAAATACAAAATAGGCATGGTTTACTTTTCTATGCAATTACTACTCATATTGTTTTTCACCTTCAATGTAGGCGATGACGGAAACGATGGTGTCTTGTGCCCAACGCACGTTCAGTGTGTTTGAAGATCAGGCATGCAAGAACACAAATAGAGAAATCCTAGTGGAATTCGACAAAGCAGTCCAAGGGTTAACAGCAGATATCATATCCCACACAGCCTTCGGAAGTAGCTACAAATTAGGAATGGAAGCCTTCCATGCCCAGAAAGAGCTCCAGTCAATCGCCATATCCAGTTTACTTAATGTGCAGATACCAGGATTCAGGTAATACGTACCCCGTATGCTTTCATTTGCATAATCCTGCAGGATGAGAAGTTCATTTCCTCGAATGCACATCCATTTGGCTCACTTAACTCCGTATGTTCTTTTGAGATTAGCTATCTGCCCACAAAAAGGAATAGGAGGAAGTGGATGCTTGAAAAGAAGCTTCGAAGCACGCTCATGCGTGTCATAAACTCGCGGTTAGCGTCGAAGGGGAGCGGATATGGAAATGACCTACTTGGTTTGATGTTTGAGGGCTGCACTACGACAGTGCAAGGGGGCAAGCAGGAGCAGCTAAGCTTGAGCATGGAGGAGATCCTACACGAGTGCAAAACATTCTTCTTCGCCGGTTACGAAACGACATCGCTTCTGCTCACCTGGACAGTGTTCTTGCTCAGTGTGTACCCAGAGTGGCAGGAGAGGCTACGGGAGGAGGTCTTGAGGGAGGTTGGAAAGGGTAACCCCACCGGCGACAACCTCGGCAAACTGAAAGAGGCAAGATCAAAAACCAACCCTTATCTTGATTTGATGATCATGTCTTGAGAAATTGCTTTGTGCATTAAAATATAGGATCATTCGACGCTCATGCATGCAATGGAAATTTCAACACATGTACAGCTAACTAGAACATGACATGTGTTGCAGATGATGATGGTCCTCCATGAAGCCCTGAGGCTCTACGGCCCTGCTCTTTTCATGCAGAGGAAGACCATAACTGACATGGTGGTCGGAGCCATAACAATCCCCAAGGACCATGCAGTTGTCATAGGCGCCCCATTCATGCACCGGGATAAAAAGGTCTGGGGTGAGGATGCGGATCAGTTCAACCCGATGAGATTCGCGAACGGGGTCGCCAGAGCGGCGAAGGTTCCACACGCCCTGCTGGCGTTCTCGATCGGGCCGAGGGCGTGCATCGGCCAGAACTTTGCGATGCTCGAAGCCAAATCCGTGATGGTGACGGTTCTGCAGAAGTTCTCGTTCGCTCTCTCCCCGAGCTATGTCCACGCTCCTGCGGATTTCCTCACTCTGCAGCCTAAGTTTGGCCTCCCCGTCGTTATGAAGCTGCTGGATATATGAAATGGAACCGGCTGGTTCTGAATGTTGCAGTACAGAACTTCTGAATTTTCTGCATGTGGTGCTCATAGTGCACGCAGTGTATATATTCTTTTCCAAATTAAGGTTGGAAAAGTAGTACGATTACAAGAAAATATATTGCATGTGGCTTGACCACCCGTCTGTTTGCATGGATAGTCTAATTTTCGATAATATATGCCTCCTGCCTTGCCTTTATCCCTAAGCTGAATCTACTCAGACACCTGCTGCGCCACTTGCACCGTTGTGGATGGTTTGCTGGCAAAGACTCTTGAATTCCCTCCCAGCCATAGCTTTCTCATGCGCGATTGTGTAACCGTAAGCCATTTCCCCCACACGAGCGAAAGCCAAGATTCCAAAAGGGTCGTAGAATTTGAAAGCCAGTTTATGGGTTTTTTTTTAGAAAAGGAGGAGGACCCCCGCCTCTGCATCTGGACGATGCATGTAGCCACTTTATTAATTGTTCACACAAGATCGTACAAAGTCATACAACAGTAAAACTAAAGCCACCATCTAGGCAACATATGTCGTTACTCCTAACCAGTTGATGAAGGGGCGCTGATAGTCTGGACCTAATACCAAACAGTCCTCGCATCCAAACCTAACATCTAAGACCTGAGGTCCCAACTAGGACGCCTGCCGGGTATGGGGCACCCACCAGTCCGGCACACTCCTCAATCAGGACACCTGCCGAGTATGAGGCCGCCGCAGCCACCTACTACCAATCCATCTTCAGTGTTGTACTGCTGCATCAACCTTGCCCGGTCTCGTTCCCGTCGACGCCACCATGGCGCCAGACAGCTCCACCGCCCTGCGCTCGTCCATCCAGCCGCATCCGTCGTCGATATGCAGTTGCACCATGCCGCCAATACTCGCCGTCATCGACGTGGTAGATACAACGCCGCTCCTCCTGCCAACCTCCACACCGTCGCCGTTGTTGGAGCTACGTGGAGTCCACCACCCCTAGCACCTCTCCCCGAACAACTGAGCCTCCCAAGACGGCGCCTCCATGGAGGTTACGACGTGCAAGACGCCGCCGCCGCCGCCCAATCCAATCTGAATTTAGGACTTTCATCCGGGAGGTATTCGGAGGTGGATAGGAGGGACCTCGGCTTCGCCTCCAGGAAGGGTAACGAAGTTTGAGGGACGTCGCCAATGCCGGGCTGTTCCAGCCGACCAAAGTTTCCTCCGGTCCCCATCCTATACCACCAAACCTTCGTCTGCTCCGGATCCGGCAGCGAGCCAAGAACCGAAACCTACATAGATGAGATTGCCATGGGGTCGAGAAGACATCCGTAGTAGATATCCATGCGTCGAATCAGACGATTCGACGTAGCCAGCGGCGAAGACCACCACCCCGCGCCGGCCGACCGTGTCCAGCATCAGATCGAGATCCGATCTGAACCCGGCGGCACCCGCAACCTCCTGCCGCGTAGCCATCACCATACCGCGCGACGGGATCTCGCCGCCTCCACCGTACCGCGCACAACGTCGACAAGGGTAGCCCAGCCGCCGTGCCGCCGTACCCTACGCAAACCCCTTGCAATCCAGCCGTCCCGCCGCCGCCCTGCGGGCCAGGCTTTGCCTGGTGGCGCTGCGGACGGTGGGAGGTGGGAGGGCTCGAGTGGGAGTGCGACTAGGGTCCCCCTTCGGGTCGCCCACAGGGGCGGCGTGAGGGGCGAGGGGGAAAGCCAGTTTATGGTTGGCCCTGGCTGCAATAGAAGACTGCAGGTACCGCTGAAGTTTGAGAAACACCTGGTCCCCAACAGCAAAAAATACGTTCAGTGCGATGTTTATCTGCTTAAGCTTTCATGCGTTGTTGAGCACACAGCAGATGCTGCCTAACAAACTCCAACACCATCTCAAGGTTGTCGAGCCACGGTTGCAAATTTTCATAACAAATAGCGCCATCAGGTTTCAGACCAAAGTGACAAGGCAGATGGCCATAGATGATTTCAAAAGGAGTTTTACCCGTAGCCGAATGCCAATTGGTATTATATCAAAACTCACAAAGAGGGGTCCATTTGGGCGAGCGAGAAGGATGGTTACTGACAAAACAGTGCAAGAAACACCCAACTTGTTGATTGACACGTTCTGTCTTGCCATCACACCATGGATGGCGAGCTGAACTCCTACGAAGCAGAGTGCCAGTTTTTTGAAACAATTCCTTTCAAAAAACACTAGTAAAAATGTGATCACGATCAGACACAATAGAGAGTGGCATACAATGGAGCTTATAAACAGAATCCAAGAAAGCCTCTGCCACCTTTTTGAGCCGTGAAAGTGTGATGTAAGGGAACAAAATGGCCGTATTTGCACAATTTGCTGATGACCATAGACAAACAGTTATACCTACCAGTTGTGGGAAACCTTTTTACAAAATCGACCATAACCATTTCCAGTTATACCTGGCGGATGTGGGAAACCCTTTTACAAAATCGATCGTGGCCATTTTTCAAGGAGTTTTAGGCCCTGTTTATTTGGGCTTTTACTTCTGCTTTTGCAGCTTTTTCACTTTGGCAAAAGAAGCCACAGAGGCTCCTAAGGGGCTGACATGGAAGGCACTGGCTATTTTCTTGTGCAAAGCTGGATCAGCTCCAACCGAGATGCAACTGTCAACTCGGAGTAAACCAACTTTGAGAGAAAATTTAGCGTCGGCCTGAGGAGTAGTGGCCAGTCGTTGCAATAATTCAGAAGCAAAGGAATCATTGTATAGATGGCCACAATATCATCGAGCCACACCTGTTGGGTAGAAGAAATAGCATGCAGCTCATGTAATGTTTCACTCACTGAATGAGGCATGCGCGACAAAGCCTTGGCACCTCGATTCTCGGATCCTTTCTTATAGCTGATGGTATAATGTAAACCCAAAAGCTTGGTTAAAGCCTTCTGCTGCCAACTAATGTGCAAACGCTGATCAGTCAAACTAGCCAAATTGTGTTGAATGATGAAGTCTGATAACTGAAGATATTAACGCCAATGCTCCATTGCCAGCAAGATTGTCAAGTACTCCTTTTCATACACAGATAATGTTTGATTTCGTGGACCTAAAGCTTATAACTCACATACGCCAAGGGGTGACCTTCTTGCATCAGAACAGCACCAATACCCACCTCACAAGCGTCAGTCTCCACTACAAATTTCTTAGATAAATCAGGAAGAGCCAAACCAGGGGATGTAACCATGGCTTGTTTGAGAGCAACAAAAGCTTGTTTTCCCACTTCTGTCCAATGAAACAACACGCCCTTTTTAAGAAGGTTTGTAATTGGCC